CATACAGGCCATATTTGGAAAAGACAGTCTGCTGTAGATATGTTGTAAAAATTATTCTGTAGGTCCCTCTCCCCTGCCCTGTTTGCATCTGGTGATGATATCTACTTATGTTGCTCATCTATACTTTTTTATAACCAATAAAAACTTAGCAGGAGGGGTTGTTTTAATAGCCATTAGCCTAGTTTATATGTTAACATTTTTTGGTGAATGAGTACAAAACATCAAAAATTGCTAGTGTATATAGCTGCAAAAGAAAATTCGAATAGGAGTTATATTCATTGAAATGTGCTATTTAACAATCAAAATAAAAAGTTATTAAGGGAGTATTATTTGAGTACCTACTATTCACATAGTTTTGTTCTTAAATCATCAAGAAGATTCATAAAAAGTAGAGTAGTATCTTTGACCTATTATATTGTTTTTGGGTGACAGTATGAATATTGTCAATCTTGTTATTGACAAACAATCTTGTTATTTCTTAAGGAACTAAGAGACAGTATATCTAAATGGTTAGTTATATAACAATATAAGGGTACTATGACACATATACCATAGGTTGTTGAGGTTAAAGTAGGTAGATACCAAGATTCATGGATGCTCAAGTCTATTACATAAAATGGCGTGGAACAGTGCATACAGTCTGCTCTTTATATCAGAGGATTGAAAATACTGTTTTTGATCCTTGTTGAATTCACAGATGTAAAACCGTGGGGATATAGAGGACTGACTGTATATATTTATTGAAAAAATCCACGTTTAAATGGATGCTTGCAGTTCAAAGGTGTTGTTCAAGGGTCAGTGTCTAAGGAATGAAGAAGTAAATTTTTTAAACAATTGTGAAATACAAGATTTGCCATTTTTTAAATTTTATTTTTATTTATTTATGGTTTTAACAAAGATTTTCTGTATTTTCAGAGAGGGGAAGGAAGGAAGAGAGGAAGAGAAACATCACTATAAGGGAAACATCAATCGGGTTGCCTCTCGCACACTCCCAAGTGGGGACCTGGCCTGCAACCCAGGCTTCTGCCCTGACTGGGAATCAAACCAGTGACCTTCCGATTCCCAGGCCAGTACTCGGTCCATTGAGCCACACCAGCCAGGGCAGATTTACAATGTTCAAGTGTACGGTTCAGTGGCATTAAGTACATTCATATTACTGCACAACTGTTATCATCATCCATCGGCAAAGTACCCATTAAACTCTCCATTTCCCACTCCCCTGGCAACCATCATTCTACTTTATGTATCCATGAATTTGACTACTCTGGGTACTTCATATAAAAGGAATCACACAATATTTGTCATTCTGTGTTTGGTTTACTTCACTCAATCTGAAGTCTTCAGGATTCATTTGTGTTGTAGCGTATGTCATAAGTTCCATAATTCTGTTATGCATTTCAGTGTACAAATATCTCTTTAAAGCCCTGCTTTTAGTGATTTTGGGTATATACTCAGAGGTGGAATCACTGGATCCTTTGGTGATTATGTTTAATTTTTTGAGGAAGCATCATACTATTTTCCATAGCAGCTGCACCATTTTACATTCCTGTAAGCAATGCCAACACTTACTATTTTCTGTTTTTGTTATGTTTTTTTTTAATAATAGCCATCCTAATGTGTGTGAAGTGGTATTTCATTGTGACTTTGATTTGCATTTCCCTAATTAGTGATGTTGAGGATCTTTTTTGTATGCTTACATTATTTATTGGCCATTTGTATATCTTTGGAGAAATCTCTGTTCAAGTCCTTTGCCCATTTTTTAATTGGTTGTTCAAGTTGTTTTTATTGTTGATTTTAGTTGGATATACTCCCTTTACAGATACATGATTGGCCAGTACTTTCTTCCATTCTGTGGGTTGCCTCTTCACTCCGTTGTTAGTGTCCTCTGATGAACAAAAGTTTTAATTCTGATGAAATTCTCTTTTGTGCTTTTGGTGTTGTATTTGAGGAATCATTGCCAAATCATTGTCATTAAGCCTTTCTCATGTTTTATTCTAAGAGTTTTATAGTTTTGGTTCTTATGTTTAGGTCTTTGATCCATTTTGAAGTAAGAGGTAAGTAAGTCTTTGAAAGGATCTTTTCTTTTTTTTGAAAGGATCTTAACCTTGGATTTCTTACCTCTGAAATGAAGACATTACCTGTCCTACAGAATTTTGAGCAATTGAGATAATATTAAGTGATGTGAAAAGCCTAAGAAAAAAAATATAATGCTAAATTGTTGAATCAGCCTTGATATAAAACAAGCTAATTCAACAATGATAAAATTGATTTTTTTCTCATGGGAGATATTCAAATATTGCAGTAATATCTAAGGCTTTTACTAAACTTTATATTTACTGCATTATTAAGATTTTACTTGTTTAGAGAAGTTTTATGTTCATAGCAAAATTGAGTGGAAAGTACAGAGATTTCCCTGCCACCGCCCCCCGCACCGCCACCAATTTATCAGCATTCTCTGTTAGTGTGGTACATGTGTTACAATTGATGAACCTTCATTTACCCATCATAATCACCCACAGTCCATAGTTTATGTTACAGTTTACTCTTGGTGTTGTACGTTCTGTGGGTTTGGACAAATGTATAGTGACAAGTATTTGTCATTATGGTATCAGAGAGAGTCCTTTCACTGCCGTAAAAATCCTCTGTATCTGCCTGTTTGCTCCTCCCCTCTCCCCAGCTCTTGGCACCCACTGATCCTTTTTTGCTGTCTCCATAGTTTTGCTTTTTCCAGAATGTCATATAGTTGGAACCATACATTATGTATGTAGCTTTTTCAGGTTGACTAAGCCCTTTTAAAATTGAGATAGAATTCACATACCATAGAATTCACTCCTTTAAAGTATACAGTTTGGTGGCATTTGGTATATATTTACAAGGTTGTATAAGCATGATTACAGTCCAATCCCAGAACATTTCCATCTCTCCAAAAAGAAACCCACACCCCTTAGCAGTCATTCCCCTGCTCTTTGTCTCCCGGTCCCTTGAACCACTAATCTAATTTCTGTTTCTGGATTTGCCTGTTCTGGACATGGAATTATACACTATATTTTTTGTGTGTATGATTACTAGGCCCTTCTAATAATGTTTTAACCTTTTCAAAGTATGTTAATGTTTAAAAATAATTTCATAACACCTCTGTGATGTGGATAGGAACTTTGTGACATAATTGCATTGTGAGATTTATTATGTCTTCATGACCTTAGTTTACCATAGGATGAAGGAAAAGAGGCTTAGAGACAGCAGAGTGGGCATTTGGAAAAGTAAAGGAAAAATGGGACATGATGATATATAAAAAAAATTCAGTCCTGTGGGATTTCTAGTACTATGGATATTAAACTTTATTAAAGTGCAACTGCAATTAAATGCTCCAGTTATATTTAAGAGTTTAAAATTTAAAGATGGGTTGCTGAGCTTTCTTCCATAGTTAAGACTAAATCTTGTTTTAGCAAGGTGGAAAGGGTGCCAGGACTGTGCCCCTGGTCATTCTGACTCTAAATGGAACCTGGTTGCTACGTTATGCAGAAGGGGTATGATACATTTATTTCTTTTAATAAATAACAAGTTAAAATGTTTTAATAATAAAGAATTTTGCCTTTGCTGCAATTATCTTGAGCAGAGGACTTTTATATAATGCAAATTGAAAGCTCTAATTCTTGAAAGTTATATGTATTTTTGAAATTAATGATATTAGTAAAAAGTAACATTTTTCTATAAATTTTACATAAGTCTTTAGTCTTAAAATATAGTGTACACTTGAGATCAAATTAGTTCCATCTTCACATTTGAATTTGTAGTTGTAACTGTGTGGAAAAAATCAGTAGGGTAACAAATCATAGTAGGCGATCTTATTGTCTACCATGGCACTGACCATTTCCTGGCATAACGGTAATTCTAGCTAAATTATTCCATGGTTCCTATCTGGTCTTTTGCCCTAATGAGGATTTCTTTTACCAGGAAGTCTAAATGATCTGTCCCAAGATTCTTTTCCTTGGGTCTCATACTTATCTTGTCTTTATTGGGGACTCTTTCCTCGGTAGTAAGCACCCTCTGATATCCTGTATAATACCATTCCCAAAGGAACTAAGTTCTAAAAGGGGAAAGTTATTGAAAATGAAAAGAAATAAAGTTATCTCTAGGTTAATTAAACTCTTGCTCCTATTCAGCACTTGTAATTAAATCTTTGTCTTTGCAGTTTCAGCTTCACATTGAGTTGCATAACTATGACCTTAGAATCTCTTTTCCTTTCCCTACATTGAATTGTCCTGTTGAGTTGACGTGGTGGAAGTGGGTATAGGGGGATAGAGAGAGTTCTGTGTGTACTGAGGTGAGGAAGCCTAGGGCAACCTGAAAGGATAATAGTATCTGCCAAGATAGTATGGATACGATTTTTATTTGTGTGTATATGTTAATGGGGTTTAAAAAAATATTTTATTAATTTTTTAGAGAGAGGGGAAGGGAAAAAGAAAGAGGGAGAGAAACATTGATCTGTTGCCTCTTGAATGCCCCCAACTGGGTACTTGGCCCGCAACCCAGACATGTGCCCCGACCTGCGACCTTTCAGTACTCGTTGGTTTCTGCACTTGTCCCAGGTTCCAGAACAAAGTAACGACGAGTACTGAAGGTACCACTGTGTTTTTAGTACTTGTAACTGAAACAAAATTTTCATAATATAATGTATCTTTATATTAACATGTTCTGTTCTATTTTTAAAAAGTCCTAGTGTTACCTATGAAATTGGTTTTATCACTCCCTGATGGATTTTAACCTGTATTTTGGAACACACATTTAGTTTGTTCATGCCATGGAACTGAAACATTCCAAAAGCTGGATGTTATTTAGGATAATTAATACTAAAACATGTTTTACTCTTATCATCTCAAAGAGAGTAACTTGATGGTGATTACCAGGTAAAAGGTAACATTATCAAGTTCTTGGTAATAAATACCAAGAACTAAATACAAACTAATTAAAATACATGTAACTTTTATTTTTATCCTTAGGTGGCGACAGACAAGGTTGCAGAAAAGCTGAGTTCTACTCTCTCATGGGTGAAGAACACAGTATCATACACTGTCAGTCAGATGGCAAGTCAGGTGGCAAGTCCATCTGCTTCATTACACACTACATCCTCATCCACCACACTGTCGACGCCAGCCCTTTCACCCTCCTCCCCATCACAGTTGAGTCCAGATGACTTAGAACTCCTGGCTAAACTGGAGGAACAAAATAGGTGAGTGAAGTTGCTTGGCTTTTCCCTCTTCAGTTATCATAGAACCACATCCATTCACATGTGTATATATACCATAATCAAAAATTTAAATATTTGCACATATGTAGAATTTTATTTTCTTGGTTTTGGCTTATTGTTTATCATAATTACTTAACATTATGCACATCTTTTTTTGAAGAATTAGTCTTAAAATGAAAGTTGGACCGAAATTTTCTTCTGGGTCAGATAGCTTTAGATATTTACTTTCTTAATATAGAATATTCCCTAAAATAGAAAAAAATTAAAGGCAAATGAAACCATTTTTGTTTTAAACTATCTTAAGTAATCCCCTTTGGTTAAGTGGTAAAATAATTTAATGTGGGTGGATGTCAGATTTATGTTTTAGAATGGGAAATCTCTTCATAAATTTATTCATAGAAGGCAAAATATCCTTTTCTGTTGATGGTTATGAAATAGTTGTTTACTCTGTTGGGAATATGTGCTCTGGACTCTGCATCCTTTTACTGTGTTATCAAAAGCTCTTTAGGGCATCACTAAAAGAATTATTGGAAGAGCATCCTTTTGTGTTCAGTCAAGGTATATACCACCATTCACTTTAAGGCTAATAAGAGATCATTTCTAACAGCTTTTTTGATATGCAATTGACATAATAAAAATACATATAGTTTGGGTATATATTTTGATAGTTTTATTTATATATATATTTCATGAAATTATTACCAGAATCAAAATAAAGAAAATTAATATATCTATTATGCCACTTCCCATCCTCAGGAAGCCGTTGACCTGTTTTCAATCACTAGATTAGTTTGCACTTTCTAGAATTTTATAGAAATGGAATCTTGTACTATGTACTGTTCTTTAGTGGATTTTTTTCATTCAACAAAATTATTTTGAGATTCATCCATGTTGTAGCTTTTTATTGTTTAGTGGTAATCCATTGTATGGGTATATCACAGTTTATCTACTCATCTGTTATGAAATGCTGTAAACATTTGTGTACTGATAGCTGTAGGTAGTATGGATGTTTTAATGATGTTAATTCTTCCAATCCTTGAACACATATTTGATTCCCCTTATTTGTATCTCCTTTAATTTCTTTCATCAGTGTCTTACAATTTCCCATACAGGTCTTTTACATCCTTGGTTAAATTAAAAAATACACACACACACATACACACACACACATAAAAACATACATATGTTTTAATCCTCACCTGAGGACCCTGATTTGAGAGAGAAAGATTGACGTGAGAGAGAAACATCCATTGGTTTTGCTGAATCTGGTTTGCTAATATTTTGTTGAGGATTTTAGCACATGTGTTCATCAGGGATATTGGCTTATAATTTTCTTTCCCCGTCGTGTCTTTATCTGCTTTTGGAATTAGGACAATGCTGGCCATGTAAAAAGATCTTGGGAGTCTTCCCTTCTCTTGAATTTTTTTTGGAATAGTCTCAGAAGGATAGGTATTAGTTCTTCTTTGAACGTTTGGTAAAATTCTCTTGTGAAGCCATCTGGTCCAGGGCTTTTGTCTGTTGGGAGGTTTTTGATCACTGCTTCAGTTTCACTAGGTACAATCAGTCTATTCAGATTCTCTGATTCTTCCTGAACCAGTTTTGGAATATTGCACATTTCTAGGAATCTATCCATTTCCTATATACTGTCTAGTTGTTGGCATATGGTTGTTCATAATATTTTCTTAAAATTCTTTGTATTTCTTTGGTGTCAGTTGTTACTTCTTCTCTTTGACTCCTGATTTTATTTATTTGGTTCCTCTCTTTTTCTTGATGAGTCTGGTTAAAGGATGTCAGTCTTGTTTATTTTTTCAAAGAACTGGCTCTTGCTTGATTGATCTTTGGTACTATTTTTTTTAGACTCTTGTTTTTTTCTGTTCTGATCTTTATTATTTCCTTTCTTCTACTCACTTTGGACTTTGTTTTTTTCTAGTTTTCTAAAGTATGAAGTTAGATTGTTTATTTGATTAGATTGTTTATTAGATTGTTTAAAGTTAGATTTCTTATTTCTTGGGGTAGGCCTTGTTTCTTGGAGTAACAGATCCTCTTAGGACTGTTTCAAGGAATCTTTTGATTTCCTCCTTGATCACATTGTTAACCCATTCATTGTTTAGTAACATGTTATTTAGCCTCCATCTCTTTGTATGTTTTTCTGTTTTTTTCCCTGTGATTGATTTCTAGATTCAGTCAGAGACGATGCTTGATATGATCAAGCTTCTTAAATTTTAACATGTGGTCTATCCTATAAAATGTTTCATATGCACTTGAAAAGAATGTGTATACTGCTGCTTTGGGCTGAAATGCTCTGAAGATATCAGTGAAATTCATTTGATCTAGTGTATCATTTCAGGCTACTGTTTCCTTGCTGATTTTCTTTGTGGAATATATATCTAGTGTTATCAGTGGGGTGTTAAAATTGCCTACTATGACTGTGTTACTATCAATGTCTCCCTTTATGTTTATCAAGATTTGCTTAACTTATTTAGGTGCTCCTGTGTTGGGTGCATAAATATTTACAAAAATTGTATCTTCATGTTAGATTGCTCCCATTATCATTATGTAGTGGCCTTTTTTGTGTCTTATTATAGCCTTTATTTTACTTTTATTTAAGAAATTTTTAGTTGAATTTGTTGAGGTAACATTGGTTCACAAAACCATACACGTTTCAAATGTACAACTCAATAAAACGTATGCACACTGCAAAGTTTTGTTTTAAAGTCTACTTGGTCAGAGATAAGTATTGCTACCTCAGCTTTTTTTGTTGTTGTTTCATTTCCATTTGTGTGAAATGTCTTTCTCCATGTCTTTACTTTTAGTTTGTGTGATCTTTCATTCTGAGATGGGTTTCTTGTAGAGAGCACATACAAAGTATATGGGTCTTGCTTTGTAATCCATTCAGTTACACTTTGTCTTTTGATTGGAGCATTTACGCCATTTACATTTAAAGTGATTATTGGCAGGTATGAAGTTATTGCCATTTTATTCTTTAACTAGGCTCCTCTCTTCTTTCTCTCCCTCTACTCCTTCTCCTTCCTCTCCTTCTCTTTTTTCTTCAAGAAGACCCTTTACTAGTTTGGTGGTAACAAACTCCTGTAGCTTATTCATATCTGGAAATCTCTATTTCTCCATCAAAATTTTTATTGTATTTTTTCATTGTATTTTTTCCATTACAATTTATAACCCCCAACAATCACCATGCTGTTGTCCATGCCCATTGAGTACCTTTTCCTTAGACTTGCTGGGTAAAGTAGTCTTGGTTGTAGGCCCTTGCTTTTCATCACTTGGAATATTTCATGCTAGTCCCTTCTTGCTTGAAATGTTTATGTTTAGAAATCAGCTGACAGTCTTATGGGACCTCCCTTTTAGGTAACTGCCTTTATCTTGCTACTTTTAAGATTCTATCTTTGCCTTTACCTTTTGCCCTTTTATTATGATGCATCTTGGTATGGGCCTTTTAGGGTTAATTTGTTTGGGACTCTACACTTTCTGGGCTTGTGTGTCTTTTTCCCTCAACAGGTTAGGTAATTTTTTAGCCATTATTTCTTCAAATAGGTTCTTGATCCCTTGCTCTCTCTTTCCACCTTTAGGTACCCCAATGATGTGAATGTTACTATATTTCATGTTGTCCCAATGTTTCCTTAAATTACCCTCGTTTTTTAAAGTTGGGTTTTTTTTGCAGCTCTGATTAGGTGTTTTATGTTACCTTATCTTCCAATCATTGATTTGATCCTCTGCTTCATCCAGCCTTCTATTATTCCTTCTAGTGTATTATTATTCATTTTATATATTTTACTCTTAATTTCTAACTGGTTCTGTTTTATGGTTTCTGTGTCTTTTTCCATGCTGTTGTAGTTTTAAGCAGCCTTATAACACTTTTTTGGAACTCTTTATCACATCAAAGCAATGTATAGATTCGATGCAATTCCAATCAAAGTACCAATGGTGTATTTCACAGAACTAGAACAAATATTTCAAAAAGTGTATGAAACCACAAAAGACCCAGAATACCTCAGCCATCTTGAGAAAGAAAAAAGTTGGGGGAATGACACTACCTGATATCAAACTATACTACAAAGCCATAGTAATAAAAACAGCATGGTACTGGCATAAAAACATACATAGATCAATGGGACAGAATTGAGAGCCAAAAATAAACCCATGCCTGTATGGTCAATTAATATTTGACAAAGGAGGCAAGAGTGTATAATGGTGTGAAGATAATCTATTCAATAAATGGTTTCAGGAAAATTGAACACATGCCAAAAAAAATTAAATTAGACCACTTTGTTACACCATACACAAGAATAAGTTCAAAATGGATTAAAGACTTTAATGTGAGACTCAAAATGATAAAAATACTGGAAGAAAACACAGGCAAGGAAATTTAGACATTTCTTATAGCAGTGTTTTTTGGATACATCTTCTTAGGGCATAGTAAACAAAGAAAAAATAAACAAATGGGACTACAAGAAACTAAAAAGTTTTTGCACAGCAAAAAAAACCCATCAACAAAAATGAAGAGACAACCCACTGAATGGGAGAACATATTGAACATATCTGCCAGTGATACATATGATAAGTAAGGGGTTAATATCCAAAATTTATGAAGAACTTATAAAACTCAATACCAGAAAAATTAATCCAATTCAAAAATGGGCAAAGGAATTGAACAGGGACCTTTCCAAAGAGGACTTATAGATGGCCCATAGACGTATGAAAAGAGGCTCAATGTCACTAATAACCAGAGAAGTACAAATTAAAACCACAATGAGATATCACCTCATACCTGTCAGAATGGCTATTATCAGAAAAGCAACAAACAACAAATGCTGGCAAAGATGTGGAGAAAAGGGAATCCTAGTGCCCTATTGGGAATTCAGACTGGTATGGCCACTGTGGAAAACAGTATGGAATTTCCTCAAAAATTAAAAATGTGTCTGTCTTTTGACTCAGTGACTCCACTGCTGGGAATATGCCGTAAGAAC